CTGGTCAGTGGTAATTACCATGAGAAATACGGACCAGTTGTCATGGAAATGGCGTCAGCAAAGGCCGAAATCCGCCATGTTTTTGGCTTCACTTTTTTTTCCCGAGCAGGTCCTCCAGTAATATAGTATAGCTCAGTGGCCTTTACATGTCGCAATTTTTTGATTGTCCCATTTGAAAGAGTCTCAAAACCGTAACTTCTTTTACAGATTTTTGTTTACATGCTTTCTTGGCGAGATAATTCAGTTTTCTTGATCATAATTGTACATACATACACATACACATACACATACACACACACACACACACACACACACACACACACACACACACACACACACAGCAGTAATTTGGGGGAATGAGATATCATTTCAAAAACCTCAAATCTGACCAGACCAGCTATTTGCCTATTTCAAGTCCTTGGAGTTAACTTCATTAGCTTCAAAGGCTTGGATTGGATTAACAGAATTTGCTGCTTACTTTGAATCAGAAATCGGGATTTTCTATTATTTCAGATCAAAGCAAGAACACCGATCAGACAGCCAGTTTCTTGGATGACAAATGTCCAATTTGTCTGTGTGACTTCACTGATAAGAAAACCTTAATTAAATGTGGCCATTCATTTTGTGCTGGCTGTATTGAAGAAGCATTTAAACATCAGAAGAAATGTCCACTTTGTTCACAAGTTTATGGTCCTTCGATTGGAAATCAACCTCCAGGAAAGATGACTGATAGTGTTCAGTCAATGCATTTGCCCGGCTTTGAATCCTGTGGTACTATTGTTATAGTTTACACATTTGATAGTGGCGTCCAAGGAGAAAATCATCCAAACCCTGGTCAGCGATACACTGGAACACAACGCCGTGCTTATTTACCTGGCAACAAAGAAGGGCGAAAGGTTCTTAAGCTGCTGAGGAAAGCTTTTGATCAGAAACTGACTTTCACAATTGGTCGGTCGTCCACAACTGGAGCTAGTAATGTTATAACTTGGAACAGTATTCATCATAAAACGAGTGTGATAGGAGGACCAACAAGGTATGTCAGTTGAGAAGATATGAAATAATAACTAGTTTAATTTTCAGTGACTTTCTTTTTGTTGTAAGTTATTCGCATTAGTTTACAATTATTAAGGGCCTGATTACATGGAGAACTTTCAACCCCGGGGTTGAACTCAGCCCTGTTAACCGGGTTGAAATCTTTTGCGATTACATGGACGATTTCAACCCCGGGGTTGAAACGCTATACTATACGTTCTCGGCATCGATTCCC